AAACAATAACAATAATAATGGGAATCAACCAAATCCACTAAATCAGACGACTCAACCACAGACGCCTCCACAACCACAGCCACAACATTAGAAAGATGTATCCCACTTGTTCGTTATCTTCAAATTCCGCCAGCCGATTTGTTTAATAAAGTATTACCATACAAAGATATTCTGCCTAATGACATTTGTCAAGATATTTTGCGATCGCAATTTATTCCGAGTGCACCGGCGACATCAGCACCATGCAAAGCTCGCCCTCGTGGAGGTATCGATTCAAAATTAATTTCAAGAGGACATTTAGCCATAATATCAAATTGGATAGACGGAAAAAATAACACCCCAAAATCAATCAACGACATTTCTCATGAATTTGAATTACTATTACGAGGAAGTCAAGACGGATTCATGGCACACACATTTCATCATAAATGTAATAATCAAGGCGAAACCGTTGTATTACTGAAAATCCAAGGTACCGGACAATTGATTGGCGGATACAATGATGTTCCTTGGAGCAATGTTGGCGGATGGGTTCCATCTCATAAGAGTTTTATTTTTTCATTGGGTGATGGGACAAATATTTCAGACAGTATTTTGAGCCGTGTGCACACGCCACACTTTGCTATCTATGATAGTAGTGATCGTGGTCCAATATTTGGTAGTTGGGATTTGGGAATGGGAGCATACGATCATCCATTTGATAACGAAGCTTCTTGCAATTGTCAACAACATCATTACGAGCGAAATATTATGGAGTCAACTGACCGATTTGCCGTTGAAGAATACGAAGTTTTTCGGGTTGATAGAAAAATCGATTGGGTGAAATAATACTACTGCTTTACCTATTTTGTATTTTTGATTTATAATAATTGGACATTAAGATATTTAGAGTTTTTTATTTTCACATTCTTTTTGTATTTCTTTATATGTACTGTATACATAAGAAAATTTTTGTTGAAATAATTTAGAGTATTTATTTTGCTTAATTTTGAATTACTATGTGTCTGGTCAAATATAATATGATTCTGGCTGAAATTAGCATTTTCATTGTAAGCTACCTTCCATTCGATACACCAAATCAAAGTTTTTATGTTTGTGTATTTTCCATTCGACGCGACACTCGTGCACAAATAATACGAAAGATTATGTAATTCTTCCAGGTTACATGTACAGTCATACCTCTATTTAATCAGACTATAAAAAGGTTGTGAAGGATCGGGAAACTTGTGATTGTATGGAGGGTGTGATTGTATAGAGGTAATTAGCATCATCTGCAGTAGAAACAATTGCGCAATTATAAGAATTTTAAAATGAATTTTTCTTGCATCATTCAATGATTTTCTATTCTTATTACCTTTCACTTTTCTATCATGAATACTATACTCATGATAATCCTCTTCCATTACCAATGGTCGGTATCAAAACTCATTAGCAATTTGGCTAAATGCATTTACGATTTAGCTAAAATCCACGGTGAAATTTTCGAAATTTGGGTCGTCAGATAGATTTTTCTTGCTTACGGCACATTCGTTGTTAAGACGTACAATGTTATTGGAAACAAAATAAGGAACGTCTTAGAGCCCACAATCAATTAAGGAGGGTACTGTTACTATGTGATCTCATTCAGGAACGAAGAAAAGCATCGATCGATGAACCATTGAAACCAGATATAAAGGATTTGTTAATCGCAGCAAATACACGAATAATTTGAATAGACCTTTGACCTGATGATGCAATACAAATGAGTTTATTGGCGCATCAACTACCTACCGTATTTTTTATGGTCATTTCTTACCTGTTGCAGATTTTCTAACTACTTAACATTCTTTATAAAACCAATGAAGCAAGAGCTGAGATTAATTCATTTTTTTCGGATAATTTAAATCGTGTTTTCACTTACGATGATTTGAATTAATTTATATCGAGGCTTTATACAGGTATTACAAAGTAAGCCACTTCAATTTTATTCTTAATATTTTATATAACAATTCAATCTAACCGCCAACTCAGTATAAACATAGCAGTGCATTGAAATCAACGCGAAAATGAAATAACCAGATATCGATAGAACAATTCATGGTGAATTATTAAGCACCTCATCGTAACGAAAATACTCTGCCGACCTCGAAAAATTTATATTGCAAAGATTTATCAATGATGGAAAAAGTATTTCAAAAAAAGTTTATCCATGGGTAGTGGACTACACATTTGTCCCGCGAGAAATATCGGACTCTTGTAAAGATGTTACTGATTTTGTTATTATATAATTATGAGGTTAAATTGGTTAAGTCGGATAAACTTATTCTGATTTTATTTCTGATGCGAGTCGTTTGAAGCCTAGGATCAAATAGCTTGTTCTTTTTGTTAAACTTTGTGATTTCATTCGCATGTATAAGTAGCTACCCATCATTTTATTTTATCATATCGTTGGGGTTTGAAAACCATCAATTTACGTTCGGCCTGCCTGTTTATATCGTTATCTTCTATTGAAATATATCTGTATTACACCTGAAAAACTTGCTTTATCGTTATCAGATAAAAATTCTTAAAAGCATTACATGTGTAAAATTATATCGATATTGTATCACCTTTAAATAATAAGCATAGACGTTCACATGCAATTACTTTACTATTCAAATTAACGAAACAAAAATTTTGAAGTCTAACAATAAAAATTATCGTAACAAAGTCTAGCAAATTATCAAGAAATTCTCATAATCCCGCTCTTTTATCAGTATTAACCTGATAGATTTCTTCAATATTCTTTTTATTCTGTTGACGTTTCTATGTTCGACTTTACATTGATTATTTTGCACGTGAAAATTCTCTTCCCGGTCCATTTCCTTTACCTCACATCGGAAGTCTATACCAAATGCAAGGTGAAATGGAACATTTAGACCTTTGGATGCCACATCTTCATAAAAATACGGTGACATATTTGAAGTTTGGTTCGGCCCAATACATAAAGCAAACCGGAACTAATTGAACATCTTACAACGAGATCAATTTTCTTATACGATTTATTCGTGGCGCAAATAAAGGATTAGACCATTATGCTTTTTGATGGAAAAAATTTATTTCTCGGAGCTGGAAGAATGCTGGAAATTACTAGGATATGAAAACGCTTTACTTTTATCCGCATGGGCAAAGAACTTTTTAACAGATTTAATGTATGATTTGAATTTTGGAAGGCGCTGCTATTTTACGGTGAAGTATTTCAATTCCCTTGCAAATTCAGAAAAAAAGGAAATACCAACAGAAGAATTGAATTTTTGTAATTATCAAGTTCAGTTATGGAAGAAGCGCTCATATTCTTTTTTACGTCGCCTGAATTGGTATGGCGATATCTTTTCGTCCCCCGTACCCAACGATATCTCGTGAACCTTTGGCATAGATCTTATGAAAGATTTATTCGTCAACGTCTTGATCAACGAGCACAAAGTGGTTATGACTCTAAATTAAAGCCGGATGCATTGAATCTACTTCTTGACTTGAAAGAAGAATCTGCTAATGGTGGTGACAATTATCGCATGGCTGAAGAAGATATTCGGACTCCTTACAAAAAATTATGAATGGTTCCTCATCTACGGTAAAGCGACGACATTTAATTAAGTTTAATTAATGTTTGTTTAATTGACATTATTCCCGATTGAAATCCCAGACATCCGGTATTTTCGGTTATATTATAGAATATATTAAACGAACTCCCAGAGTTAAAGAGCAAGTCGAAAAAGAAATTCGAGTTTTTGTAAGAAGGTCAAAAACTAATACAATAAATCTTGAAGAAATTACACAATTTAAATATATCAAGGCGGTAATCTGGAAGGTAAAAAAACGAATATTTGTTTAATCCAAATAGTTCTTCGTGTAAGATCCGCAATTATGATTGAAAGAGCAAATACCCAAGAAGAAACAATCAGCGGATACCAGGCGTGTCAGTATTCAACCAAGCTATTTCAATCCGGTTGTCTGGCTAGACCCCGACGAATTCAGACCAGAAAGATTCTTGAACAGGGAAATTAAAAATCCAAATATTTATATCCCTTTTTTGGTGGTGGATTGTGATTATTTCCCGGACGTTTAGTGGCAATAACTATCTTGAAAACGATGACAATTTTGTTGTATCACAAGCGCTACTTGATATACTGACATTATTAAAATAGCTTCGCTAATACTTGTCTTGGAGCTAATGTTAAATTGACACCAAAGAAAAAATAGGTATTATCTTTTATTAAATCTACTAATTACATATTACTATAACGATAAATGATAATAATAACGATACAAATACAAATATTAATATTCTATACAATAAATATTATGCAATATACGAATAATGATGTGTTGGTGGTGATGGTACTTGAGTGATCCCATATGGTTGTGCACTTTGTGACTGTCCATAATATTGTATATGTTGTGGAACCAGCTGTTGTGGCGGTGGTTGTGGAGGCGTCTGTGGTTGAGTCGTCTGATTTAGTGGATTTGGTTGATTCCCATTATTATTGTTATTGTTT